CTATAGACAATCAGACGAGGGAACTCCAGGAGAATCCTGCGCTACTCTTCCAACCGCGTCACTCATGTCTTGATTGAAGAATCTGGCCATTGCCAGAACTCCAATTTATACAATCTACAAAAGGTCGCAAGGCCACTGCCGTTTCAACCTTCTTGGAGGATTATAGGGGTGGGAGGTGGTTGATAGGGATTGTGCAAGAGGATTTGGGTGAAATTTGGAGAATTTTTCTGGGATAACGTCTAGAACAAATGGGATGTTGAGGTCATGATGTAGGGTTTTGTTGGTTACATAGAAAGGAGCATCGACTATTGTTCGAAGGACTTTTGACTGGAAGGATTGGATGCGCTTGATGTTTTTGCTGATTCCTAGAGTTCTAGTCCGTAAGTCCAAATAGGTTTCAGTATTGTATTATAGATCAGTAGCTTGTTTTCAATGGAAAGTTTAGATTTTCAACAATAAAATTAGTGTTAGATTTCATAAAATCGACTAATTTGTTAAATAAAATTTAAAATTGTTTTAAAAATTAAATCCAAAGATAAACAAGATTGATTTGCAAACGTTGATATGTTATTGTTCTAAATCGGCCCATGCATCAAAATAAGTTTTTTTGTTGGACGTTTTGTCTAGCAACACCCCCATATTTTGGCTAATAAGCACTGAGACAGCCTTTGCTTATAATTTATAAAAAATAAAATATAAAACAATAATTTATATTTAAGAATAAATAAAATAGATGAAAGAACAGACGGACAGGGTAGAAGAGAGGATAGAAAGGAGACATTCTGCTAGAGGTGGCTGTAATAGCCGCTCATTCCGCCAGCTATTCACCTTCTCCCAATTCAGGCCTTCCATTGACAGCTCTCTTTTTTTATTAACCACCACATTTTTTTTTTCCTGTCGAAAATATCCTAATCTTTCATGAGTTGATTTGTCCATGAATTCACCCCCTTCCCAGCAGATATACATGAATGATGATTTTTTATTATGAAATATGTTTTGTATGACATTAATCGAAATTACTTCACAAAGAGAAATAAGCTCTTTTTATAATAAAATATCACAACCTGTCTCAAGTACGAATAAATATAGTCATAAGGAAATTCATTTTATCGCATTTACATGCAATAAAAATAATATAAATAAAGGCGAAATAAAGGAAGTAATATTAATCACATACAACATATACCTGGGAGAGAAGCACCGGGATCTCCTAGAGTCCTGCTTTGGCTTCCACAATTGGGGGACAAAGCTCGATTCAGAGTCCCCTGGGCCAATGTAAATATTGTACATAGGTGTGAATGTGTTTTATTTATTTTATTATCATTCGGCTTTAATCTGTTATTTTACTTATCTTGTATATTACTTTATCTTTATATATATATATATATATATATATATATATATATATATATATATATATATATATATATATATATATATATATCTTTTTTTTCTTTCTCTTCTTACTTGGTTATTTTTATTTATTTTATTTTCTTATGTACATATTGTGTGAATTAATACTATAGCACTAGTACCAATACCCTTCAGTGTGGCAGACTACTGATAGTATTAATACTCAGTAAAATAATTTAAAAGAAAAATAAAAAGAAACGTCTACACTCACAAGAAGAGGAGTCAGTCTGTGGGTAACCGATTCCAACCATTAATATTATTATTATTTTCTTTTTTAATACCTTGCTGATGTATCCCGGCGTTCTTTCCAATGGGCCCTAGGAGCCTGGAAAAAAATAATTTATATAATTCTTTGCTTTGACCGGATTTTCGTGGTATTATATATCGATCGATTTATTTTTTTTCTGTGCAGAATAAAAAAAAATATTAACTATTGTATGAAATGAGTTATAAATTACAAAAACCAAAAAACGCTTGCAGTAAATTAGGCGAAAAAAAGAAGTAAATTTTTGTTATGAAAAAGAAAATTGGATCCTTATTGGGACCCTTTAAAACTCTTCAAATTCGAATTGTTATGTAAATAAAAAATACCAACTTTAGTGCTTGATTTTCTTGGTTGATTTTTTTTTTTTAAGTCTGTCAACTATAGCATTCATAACTTTTCAGGATTTTCTTCAATTTCAACTTTAATATGGCCGTTAGAAAGCTGAATTAATGATCTTTTAACTGACTCCGATAACTTTTGGATTTTTTCAAACCGGAAATTTAAAAAAAACTTATAACCCGTCTTTATTTTATATCTTAAGTTTTAATTTATTTTCCGACTGCTCCAACACTTACTAGAAAAAAGCTCTAAACTTTCAATTAATTACAAAAGACTCATCTACTTAACCATAATAAAACCTAAATGGACATACGGAGTTGAGCTATGGGTTTCTACCAAACCATCGAATTCATATCGCATCCAATCCTTACAATCCAAAATCCTTCGTAAAATCCTTAATTCCCCATATTTCGTCATCAAATAAAACCATTCATAAATACCTTAATGTTCCATATGCCGCTGATGTAGCCTGAGCTAGATGCCTGTCATTTCATGATAAATTCCATTCCCAACCGAATCCGCTTGTTTCCAGCATTGCTTCTTCCTCGATTCCTGATAATCCCCCTAGGCATCTGAAAAAAAAGATGGCCTCGTGATCTTCTCACCTAGAATTAAATAGTGATTGCTACCACTGGGCAGTATCTCTCCAAGTCGGTTCATGTCATTGTTTATAATGTGTGCATTTTTAATAGTTGTATTGTTTATACAGTTGTAAATTTCATTAAATAAATAAAAATAAAAAGTTTTAATTTGTTTAAGAAGATCGTGTTGATACCATTCCGTGTAGCATACAGAGGCCTTAATCCCTATTAATTTTCATGTAGATCGGTGAAGCCGTTGAAAGTTATCACAAGTTTTGTCAATTTTAATTTTCCGATTGCTATAAAAATTAGTATTTAAAGATTGTTTGAGGTTTGAAAAAAAAATATCAACTTTGTTTCTCCCAAAAAAAATTACACCCAGACGGTTTTTAATAGATATTAAATTTGGCAGACAGCTACAGTATGGGCGAAATTCGGACCAACTGACGAACAAATGTGGGAGTAAATACATTTTAGGGAGAAACAAAGTTGATATTCGTTTTTCACACTTCAAAAAATCCTGAAATACAAATTTTTATGGCAAATATCAGTACGTTTTTTCCTGGTTTTAAAGTATTACACTTCTGTTACAGCTTCTTCTAATAAAATTGAAAGGTTGAAATTTTGTATGTATTATATATTAGATTTGTATTGGGAAAGTGCCTTTGGGGAGTCTCATCGACAGCCGCCATTTTGTTTAAAGATAAAGGCGGAAAACCCCATTTCTCTATAGACTGCTGCTCTAAAGCGGCTTTAACGATTATGACAAAACTATCCTAAAGTATTCCCCGTGAAATCTTGTAAATTTATGTATATAACTTTTTTGATAAAGTGGTGAAAAGAAAATTTTGTTTTCCAATAAATCTATAAGTATACATTTGTTGTTATAAGATTTTCTCCCACAAGATAAAATAAAATAAATCTTTGAAATCGGGTCATTTTTTTTCAGAGATGTGGCGTTATGAATTATTTAAGTCCTAGCTACCCTTGGAATTCGATCTTCATTATTTGTTTTGTTGATATCTCAATACTATAAATCTAATGGTACATTCCTAATGCACGCTTGATTATTATGGTAATGATCCGCATAGCTTAATATATATATATATATATATATATATATATATATATATATATATATATATATAAATTTACAACTTTTCCTTAATCGACCTTTGAGTATTAAATTTTGTTTTATTAATTTATTAAATTAAATTGACCTTATTCCCAATAAATAATTAAGTTTAAATATATATATATATATACAATAAATATTTTCAATAAGCTAGTCTTTTATTTTATTTTTTTTATTTGTTTTTATGAAATTTACAACTGTATTACATGAAAAATACAACAAGTAAATGTGACATTGGTAACATGACAAGTACAACATGAACGGAAACTACCCATTGGTAGAACTCAAATTAAAGTTCTATATTAGAAGGTTCCCGAGGCCATCTTCTTTTCAGACACCTCGAAGTGTTATCAGGGATCGAGGAGGAAGCAAGATTTGAAACGAGAGGGTTCGGATGGTTCTGCAGTTTGTTATAGAAGGATAGGATCTGGATTGGGCCAAATCGGAAAAGTATGGAACATTAAGGTATTGGAACATTTATTCGTGACAAAGTAAGGAGCCTTGAGGATTTTACGAAGGATTTTGGATTGTAAGGATTGAATACGAGAGGAAATCGATGGTTTAGTGGAGCCCCAAAGCTCAATTCCGTAAGTCCAAATAGGTCTTATTATGGTCATATATATATATATATATATATATATATATATATGAGTCGTTTGTAATTGATTGATAGCTTACAGCGTTTGTCTAGTAAGTGTTGGAGTAGTCGGAAACGTCGAGCAGTTTCTTGTCGTTTCAGTCTTGTATGAGGATTCCATGTAGAGAAGTATAGTAACTAAGATTGTCAAGTATTAGTAACTATTTTGCCTTAATTTTTATTCACAAAAATCGATTTTTTTTTAACAGTCCAGTTCTTGGTCTTGGCACATATAGGCGACATTGGTATTGGTTTTGCAAGTTGACCGATTTTGGGCAACACTACTCACATGCGATGATACACTACACATATTTAATTTACAACTTCTTAAAAATAACAAACTATTAGGTAACAAATTTCAAAAGGATTAATTTCTCTCTTTAATGTCATTGAAACAATTTATCCCTTTTATATCTCTTTTTAAATAAGATGGAAAATACGACCTTAGAGCTCTGCTCCTAACGCTTTTTAATTTTATTATGACTTCTAAATGTTATATTACCACATCAATAACTCATGCATTAACGATAAACTCTATACCGTTTATCTTCAAGCTTACTTTTTGTTCACAGAAGGGGCCTACATGCCTAACGGAGCTAACGCACTGCGGGGCGCTACCCCCCGGCCCCCGTCGAGCAAGGAACCCTACTTCGATTCCTCTGCACCACAGAACGTCTCTGCGCTCATCGGCAAATCCGCTTACCTCACATGCAAAGTCAGGAACATCGGAAACAGAACGGTAAGTATAATTTGTGAAATATATAATTTTATGTAAAACAGTTTACTATGATTAGTTGATCCATTCGTGTTTATACAAATTGTTGTCCTTTTGACAGAGAGAGATCTGTATAGACTTTGTTCTACGCGGTCTGTTTCATATAGTTGTTCATTTTTTTAAGGTTGCAGTCGAGATATTTGAAGTTTTCTACTCTCGGAATCAATTTTTAGTTTATTTAAACACTGTCAAGTTTTATTTTCGTTTACATATTGCCTGATTGGTTCTGATTACCTTATGAGGTTTAAGCGGGTCTTTTGTCAATATCCTCTTGATTAATATACATTATTACTAAAGGCTAATTGTTATTATATATATACATATATCTAAATTTTAATCCAAAATCATAAAAAATATAATTAAAATACTTTGCATTTAGAATATTAATAAATTATATTAAAAAGTAAAAAAAAAAAAAAAAAAATGAGACATTGTATTTCCACCTCCTTATATTTTCTAACCTCTCCGCCAACCTCCGCTGTTTTCTTCCCCACATATTTCCATACAAGTTTTGTTATCCTGGTTTTTTTTCTCTTCTTTTTTTTTCATTTTCCTTCTATCAGGCGCTTACTTACCGTATATTCTCAGCGAAAATCAGGGCAGACTACGTTTTCCAGAGGTCGCGGGGACGGTATATTTCATACCGCACAGAAAATGGCTGAAATATTCGACCTAGCTTCAAGTTATAAAAAGCTGTGTCAGTAACTCCACCATAGTGGCTAAAGCCAGTTGAAAAATCTGTGCCAACTAGGCAATGTAATGAACATAAAATTTATAAAGTAATATTTTATGAATTTTTTTTTCTATTATCGAATTTTGAGTTATTTTAAACGGTTAATTTTGGCTTATCAAGTAATCAATTGATTCTAAATTATCTGAAAATAAATTCAAGCATTAAATTTTTCTGAAAAAGAATATCTCTTTTTTTTTTTTTCATTTTATTGAGAAATAATACATTTTGCCACACTTAAGGGTACTGAGTAATAGAGCTGAGCTCATAAGCACATTCATACCATATATCCAATACAATAAAATATTAATATACAAGACCATACTGAAACACATCTGGACCAACGTACTTGAACTGTGGGGAACAACTAAATTTTCAAACATCCAACGCATCCAATCCTTCCAGTCTAAAGTCCTTTGTACAATATTAAATGCTCCCTATTATGTTACAAACAAAAGTCTACATCATGATCTTAACATCTCTTATGTCCTTGAAGTTATTCCATCCCGTTTCTCAAATTTTCATCCAAACCAAATCCATCATCCTAATCCGTTAGCACAGTTCTGCGCATGCGTTAGCCTAAGTTAAACATACGTCAGGTCGTCTCTTACAAAATTCTTCATTAATAGTGGCAGTGTTCAACTTCAATGCGAAACAACAGTGTTATCTGTTATATTAACAATTAAGATTGTTACTGAACAAAAGAATAAGGTGAGTAATCACTTATTTACAGCTCAATAGTGAACAGTGTAAATAGACCTCTGGTTAGTTACTGATAACGGCCGGCCATAACATCGCTAATCCCACCAGTGGGCTCTGGCTCTCCGTCCGAGGAGGTTCTGTGCCGACTAGTCCTCTCTAAGCACGCGTATATATTTCCGTGCTTAAAAAAAAAAAAAAAAAATTGTTATCGCTTCTCATTTAACAATTTTTCCTATCATTTATAATATGAAATGCGATATTATCATATGCTAATGTCGAGCAAGGGTAAAAATACTAGGTCCAGAAGCCTCGATACTACAATGAGTTCTCCTATTAAAAAAAGAACAAGACGTTCGAAAAGAAATACTCCACCAGCCACACCAGGGAGCTCTGTTGAAGAAGTGGATCCCCAACCTGGTACCTCACAACAACAAAACAATCATGAGACAACTCAGACTGGTGAAGAATCGCCGTTTTTCACTCAGAACCCATTTCAAGTGCTATCAAATACACAAAACGAAGAAATGGAAGCAGCACCCACCCCCAGGGAACCCAAACCCCCACCAATATTCCTTAGGAATATTAAAAACTTTCAGTTAATGTGTCACCAATTGAATAACCTAGTGGGCTCAGGAAAATATTTATGCCAAAGCCGCACCAATGACACTAAATTAATGCCCGACACTCCAGAAACATACAGAAAAATTATAAAATATTTATCTGACACCAAGGCTGATTACCACACGTATCAATTGCGTCAAGAGAGGGCGCTCAGGGTCGTTATCAGAAGACTGCACCCATCTACGCCAACAGATGCTATAAAAGAAGAGCTCGTGGGTATGGGATTCCATGTTCGCCAGATAGTGAACATATTCAAGGAGGATAGAGAACAGCCTGGAATAAAAAGTAAAATACCGCTCCCACTATTCTTCGTTGACCTTGACCGAACGCCCCAGGTCGAAGACATCTACAAGGTCACACGCCTTTATTACACCAGCGTTGTAGTAGAAAAGCCTTACACCAAGCGCGACATCGTTCAATGCCATAACTGTCAGGCTTATGGCCATACGAAAAGATATTGTCATCACATTCCTAGATGTGTGAGGTGTGGTGAGCAACACAAAACAGAAGAATGTAGGAAGTCTAGAACTTCACCTGCAGTATGCGCCTTATGCCACCAAGGGCACCCTGCCAACTACAAGGGTTGTCAAACATATAAAGAATTAAAAACAAGAATGTACGCAACTCCTAGAGAAGAAGGGACATCCAGGCCACCAAGACAACCCTCTAGAACAGTGAACGGAAGAGTGACCTATGCTCAGATGTTCAAAGGAGACACTATAAACACTCAATCTCAGGCCCTGCCACAAGAACCTCAACCTCGAGAATTCACACATCAACCTCAAGACCCATATCCACCCATCCCTGAACCTAGGTTCAATACCCAGACATACATTCCTCCTCCTTCCAATTCCACTGACCTCACAAGCCTATTAACTTCTTTCCTCTCTGAATTTAGATCCCTCATCACCCCTCTTATTTCATTACTTACCAATGTTATATCCAACCTCATTCCACCGCCGAGAAATCCATAAATGTCCTCAACCAAATCCCTCTCCATTCTCCTATGGAATGCGAATGGTATTCGAAATCACATCAACGAACTGACAATCTTATTACATGACAAAAACATCGACATAGCACTAATAACTGAAACCCGACTAACCAACAAACGACAAATCAACGTTCCTGGCTACAATATTTATAGAACCGATCATCCTGATGGAACAGCACATGCTGGCACTGCTATAATTATCCACCGATCTCTCTCCCATCATTTATTTCCCTTACCAACCCATAATTTCCTACAATCCACTGCCGTAATAATCCAAACTTCCCTTTACCCAATAACATTAGTTGCGGCATATTCCCCGCCTAAAATACCCATTTCCGAATCCCAAATAATTTCCTTCCTGAATTCCTTAGGACACCATTTCATCCTAGGTGCAGATTTAAATGCAAAACACCAGCAATGGGGAGCCAGATCCACAAATTCCCGAGGGCGAACATTGCTATCTGCACTTAATTCCCATCGCAGCAATATCCTTTCACCTAATACTCCCACATACTGGCCAACAGATCCCAACCGCAATCCCGACCTTCTAGACTTTTTCCTACACAAAGGTCTAGGATCATTACACTGTTCCATTTCAAGGCTTGATGATCTTTCCTCAGACCACAGTCCTATAGTCCTAACCGTTTCCACATCACCCATTCCTAAATCATCCCCTCCTTCATTCATCAGGGGACCAGTTAACTGGAACCTTTTCCGTCAAATATTGGATGATAATATAGACCTCAGAGTTTCCTTAAAAACACCTGAAGACCTTGACGATGCAGTGGACTCCTTCACTACCCTGATCCAGCAAGCAGTTTGGACTGCATCCTCACCTGATCGTCCCAAAAAACACCTCAGTATAAATCCTCTACCCCAAGACCTATTGGACCTTATCCATAGCAAACGATGCTCTAGGGCCCTCTGGCAAAGAACCAGGCATCCTGATGACCGGAAATCGTATAATTATTATTCCAAACAGGTAAAAAAGAAACTGGATATCTTTAGAACCCAATCCTACAATTCCTACCTTTCCTCATTATCATCTAGTGATAACTCCCTCTGGACTGTAACTAAAAAAATCCTTAAATTCCAATCCATTTCCCACCCCCTCCGCCGTGATGATGGTTCCTGGGCTTCGTCAGATGCGAATAGAGCTGAAGAGTTTGCTAAACATCTATCCTACACATTCACTCCTCATCCCGAACTCCATCCCACCCACACTGCTGAAGTTAAAGAATTTCTCTCTTCACCAATTCCTCTCTCTCTACCTCCAAAACCTGTTAACCCCTCTGAGGTAAAATTCCTCATAAACAAATTAAAACCCGAAAATCCCCTGGATATGATCTCCTCACTTCACAAATCCTCAGACAACTTCCCAAAAAAGCAATCATATTCCTTACCTATCTATACAACTGCATCCTTCGCACAACCAACTTTCCTTTGGTGTGGAAACATTCCATAATCGTGCTGTTTCCAAAACCAGGCAAACCCGTTAATAACACATCATCCTACAGACCGATAAGCTTACTCCCTATCCTCTCAAAAATCTTTGAGAAAATCCTCCTCAAACGCATCCTACCCATACTCGAATCCCACAACATCCCTTCTCATCAATTTGGATTCCGCTCAAGACATTCCACTGTCCAACAAGGCCTTCGTGTTGTGGACCATATATCCTCTGCACTTGAAAACAAGCAATATTGCACTGGTGCCTTTCTGGACGTAGCGCAAGCTTTCGACCGGGTGTGGCACGATGGCTTGCTTTTCAAGCTCAAAACCCATTTACCCCAATCCTTATACCTAGTCCTCAAATCCTATCTCTCAAATCGTTCCTTCCAAGTCCGTTGCTGCACCGAATTCTCCACTTACTATCCAGTTGAGGCTGGTGTTCCACAAGGCAGTGTTTTGGGTCCA